CTTTAACGTTAAGTTCACTTCACGTCCCGTCGCGTCCCGTTACGTTAAGTTCATCGTAATCCCGGCTTTATATTGACGCTTTGCCCCTTACATTTGACGTAACAACGCTCCGCCTTTTGTTTCAGTTTATTAGAACGAGAAACAAAGGCCCATCAATGTGGGTGTACGGCATAACACTGTTTCTGACGGAATCGACAAAAGAGGCAAAACCAAGTGCCTTCGATTACGATATTATCCAAACTTTCTTCAGTAACGCTGGTCGCGATAAAATGAGTCAGGTCTCTGAAATGGCGAGGATGTTTGGGCTCTACGGCGAACGGGAGACCGCGAGAAATTGTAGCGAGAAGCCTTTGGAAACGCGTGAGGCGTGTACAAACGAAATTGAACGCGTCAGTAGCGAGAAAGAGCTTGCGCACCGCGGAGATAATTGCGAACAGTCAAATGCTACCGAGTGTAAAAATGGAGTTGCGAGAAGAGATAGTGGGACGGAACGTCTGAGCTGTGCAAGGAATTCTAAAAGGTCGGACGCGGACCTTGTATCTCGCCTTTTTTGCAGACGGAGACCTAAAATACCTAATCCTAGATTTGATGATATTAAAGAAGATCTCATGAAGGCGTTCGGCGGCGAGGACGAGATGTGTTTATGCGATAATAACAGGTTTCTGAGTGAGAAATATCTTCAGCGCAAGTCGGGAGCTCCTACCTCGGACTCGGATCCGTTCAAATGTAGAAATAAAAATGGAGACGACGCGAGAGATTACCGAAGTCGCGAGGTTGAGAATTCGCAGTGCAGAAAGAGACCTATAAATAGAGTCAGCGCCGAGGAACTTACGAACCGCGAAGATTATAAGAAATTCAGGAGCTACATCGCCAATAAATTATGTGATATGGAAGGGAGATTGATGAAAAGAATAGACGAGATGGAAGCCGGTACCAATCGGAAACTGAATGCAATTTTGGAAAGACTTGAAACACTGAATTAACAGTGAATGTAGTCTCTAGTTACCTATTAGTTTAGCAAGTTATTTTTTTATACTTAAAACAGGATTTAAGTTAATGTATTATGTATCTTAGTGTATTATATATTCATTGTATATGTATTAGTAAGAGTTAAAAATTTTAATAATGAATCACTGTCTTGGATATATCCTTTTCTTTCAACTAAAATCAAAAGATTCGACTCGTCTTAGCAAATATACAGCTCTTTTTTTGTTATTTGTATGCCATCTTTTTTTTATTAGAATAAATTTATACTTATGTATATCGTATATGTATATACATATATGTATGTATGATTTCAAGTTTTGTATTAAAAGCACATACAAAAAATTGCACATTTTCGAATTTATATTTAAATACACGAGAATTGAATGTATCCTAAATTAATTCTAGAAATTCGTAAACGTTGTCTCGGCCTCCCGGGGGAGACATTTAGTATATAAACATTAATATACATTTAGTATACAAATATTAATGTTTTATTTATATAGTATTATATATGCAACTAAACTTTCTAAAATACGATTATAAAATTACGTACATGAGAACAGTAATGGTTGCTTTATGCTACTCCCGCATTTGGTACGATCCTTCATACTTGTATACCGTAAAAAAATAGTCTCGGGGGGTGGCTAGAAGCGATGCTCAATGAACAAGATAGACCGAAAAAGATAACCGCTAATATAGAATATAATTGCAATATAAATTAAAGAAAATGATATTGGCAGTTCTCTCCCAGCACGGAATGACCTTGCGCCCATCAGTCAGCCTTGTCATTCTCCTCGGGAGGATCCCAAACGTGAAGCTGCTTCCGCCACAGCCTCACCATACCGTCCCAGCCCCGTCTGCTGTATTTTATGCACTTCGGCGGTGTCTTCGGATGTTCCCGCGTCCGCGTCTCCCTGAAACGAAACGAAAGACGTCAGCTACGTGTGTCCACGTGACGGAGCCCACCTCTCGCGATCAGGAACACTTACTTAGGAACCAGCTGGATGTATCTGTCGTACCCGATGGTGTTCTTCCCGTAGTCGATCTCTTTCTGCCGGCGCGTCAGCACGACCGGATCCGTCTCGTACTCCACCTCCCTTCTCTCCCGCAGCCCGCCGCTCTCCGACGAGTTCGTGGTCGTGCTGGAGTCGCTGGAGTAGCGCCTGCTGCGCGAGACCTTGGCGCCCGTGGCCTGGTCGACATTGCACTGCCTCGTTCTCTTGCGCCAGGTTGCGTGCGTGTCCCTCGGCGCGTTCCTCGCGTTGTTCTTGTACTCTATGCACTTGATACCCCTCGCGCCCGGCCCCTCGTCGTCACCCCCGGTCCTGCAAACGTCCGCGTCCGCGCTGTTCTCCTCGCACCAGACGACGCCGCCCTTCGTGTCGCAGTCGTCCCTCGCGCCACCCTCCTCGGGCTCGACGATCTCCTCGCTTTTCATGCACAGCACCTCGTCGAACAGCTTGTCGTCCTCGTCCTCGATGTGCAGCTCCACCGAGTCGCGCGAGGGCGACTCCATCTCGGCCAATTGTACGCTTCAACCCCCGCGTCCGAGTGTCTGAAAAGGAACGCGGAGAGAATTAATACACGCGCTGATCGCCGGCAACAGGTATAACCTACCTGCGCGAACGCGGCTGGCTCGTTTTGCCGCGCGAGGAAACGCGAGCGCGAGGACCGGCCTCGGTGCAACCGCGCGTACTAACCAGCTATCTCCGACGTGGACGTCACATGTGCAAACGCGACGGCGAGGGGAATACGCGCGACTCGGGGATCAACTCGCTCGCAAGCTCGAACGCTTCCCCGCGGCTCTGCGTGCTCGTCGCTCGGCTTCGCCCGCGCGCGCCTTTTCAACTGTCGCCGCGGTTGCTTCCCCAGTTCCCCCCCTTCTCCGAACGGTACAGTGTGCGCGTGCGTAGTCGCGGAATTAACCGCGCGAATGCGATCTCGGCGGACTCGCCCCGCGGTGTTGACGTCGTTTATCTTTGATCTTGTTGTTCGTGCGATTCGTCCTTCGTCCCTTTCTAAGGGGACGGCCGGAGAAGAGATTACAAAGGTAAATTGTCCCCCGAGGAATAGTCCAGGCGCGCTCGAACGCCCCGCTTTCTCATTTGTGATTTGCGCATGTTAGGTTAGGATGCCAGCCGAGCCGTCAACACGTGCGGCGGTTGACATGCGTGGAGTGTGCCAATGGATTCGAAACTTGCGGGTCTTCTGGAGCGAGCGATCGTTCAAGAAGGTGAAGAACGAGTGAAGCTACAGGTCGAGGGGGAACGAGCTTAGGGTTACAAGATTAGGTGAGGAGAGAGAGAGAGAGAAGACGGGAAGGATGCCGAACGTGATCGTGCTGAGCGACTCGGACGAGCCGGCGTCTCCCGTCGCCGACGAGCGCGACGGAGTCGGCCCGGAGCTCGGCGACAGGTATCGTTCGGGCGCTCGCACGAGCGACTTGGATCTCCCGGAGGTGCCGTTCTGCCGCGAGATCGCGGCGAGCGCGAGTCCCGCCGATGATGGCCGCGGACTCTTGGCCGCCGAGGAGTCGTCCTCGGACTCGGGCGACAACCGGGTGGTCGCGGCGGCCTCGCGGAAGGCGGCGGCGGCACCCGGGAGGGACAGGGCGACGCTGGAGGCGGAGCGCGCGAGGCGCCGGCATGCCCTGGCGCGGGAGAAGGCGTTGAAGGCGATCGAGCGGAGGGCGGCGAGGGACACGAAGCCCGGCGAGTGCCTCAAGTTCATGGAGGTTGTGCTCGATCGGGGCATCGACGCGGAGTCTCTGCGCGGGGAGATCGAGAGCGCGCTGCGGAGTGCCGGCGTCAAGTTCGACGTGACCGCCGAGTCGATTCCCGGCAGCGTCACGTGGCGGAGGAGCGTCGAGGAGGAGTACGTCGGCGAGGACAACGAGGTGCGCGCGAGGAGGAGCGTACGGACGGAGGAGCACGCTATCGTGATCTGGAGCAGCCGCGAGGCGGTGGGGCACGTGGCGGACGGCACCTTCGGCACGTCCGTCTCGAGCATCAGGGACCTGATACCGGGCTACAGCCTGACCCTGCTCGTCTGCGGCATGGACGAGTATTTCGCGCGTCGGATGAAGCAGAGGGATCGGAATCCCGCGGACAAGGGACCCAGGTGTAACGGCAGGGCCGACGAGCGGTTCGACGCGTGGCCGACTGTATCGCGGCGGCAGCTGGAGATGTGCCTGGCCGAGATTCAGATTGCGAGCGGATGCAGCGGCAGACTGATCGAGAGCGCGCAGGATCTGGCGCTGACGGTGTGCCAGTACACCAAGTCCGTCTCGGAGATACCGCACAAGTTGCGGAAGAGGGAGAATCTGGAGGGCAAGTTCAGCTGGTACGTCACGGGGGACAACAGGAACACCGTGCGCGTGGACAGGGACGGCAACGGGCTGAGGAGGCTCTGGCAGCAGCAGCTCTGCCAGTTTAACTTGAGCAGCTTGGAAACGGCGGAAGCGATATGCGCGGTCTATCCCAGCCCGGTGCGACTCGTCGAGGTATCGTTTTAAATTTTACGTTCTCGTGCGATGCTGGAACCAGCTTGTTTCTGCTTGGAACGCAGTAATGCCCGTTTTTTACCGACGCAGATTAACTTTAATCTCGGTTTAAATTGGTGAGTTGAACCAAGTTTAAAGTTAAACTGCGTTGGTAGAAACGGGATAACAGTGCTTTTATGTTTGCAGGCCTACAGAAATTGCACACCCGACGAAGGCATGAATTTATTAAAAGATATACCAGTAAGTTCCTTAATTTCTTTCTAATAAAGAATTAGATTGTATGTAATTACCAAACGTATTTGAATTGGGTTTTTAACACACGTGGTCTATTTGGTCTATTTCTACTTTTAGTTTTACGGGTGTGTGTGTGTATAAATTGTAATTACATCTTACGTGTGATAAGCCCACAATCTGTAATCTTGGAATTATAGTTTAAAATTCATTAACATAATAAATATGTTGTTGTCTGACAGATAAGAAGAGCAGCGGGACCTCTTACAACTACACGTAAAATTGGTCCTGAATTAAGCAAAAAGGTGTACGTGATGTTTACGTCGCAAAACGGGGACGCTTTATTGGGGTCTCAGGCATAAATAACTGCAAGTCTTTATAGGAACTTCACCTATGTTTAATTTTCGTTTCTAATCCTTTGTGCCGAGTTCGCCAATACAAATGCATTATGTCATGTAACAATTGCGTAATACTAGAACGTTACTTATGATATTTTAATTTGTTCCGTTTTGTTAATACAGACCGAAAGGATTTAAACTTTTCAACGATGCCTTTGCTGTTTCGAAAGATCAGATTATCTAGTCGATTTAAAATAAAAGTTATTTAAGATTAAATAACAAATTAATACAATGTCGTAAACAGTTTTTACAAGAAATTGGCGTTCTAAGAAAATAATTCAACACAAAATAACACAATGTAAAATAACTATCACTGCTTTATCATTATATATATATTATTGTAAAAACTGTTTAGGCATCTCCGAAATATGTCTGAGAAAGAACGAGAAATAATGCAAAAATGCATTGTATTAATTTGTTACTTAATCTTAAATCTTTTAATTATTAAATATTTAATTAAATTAACTATTATTTCATCATTCTCATTCTTCGGCCAATTTTAATTCAGCAGCGATATATACATGTAAAGCCACTAGCTGTACATATAAAAAATCGTACAGTATTATCAGATGTTATATCAGATACATTTGCATAATTAAATAACGTTCTATTGTTTTGTTATACATGCACATTTCTTCTTTCTGCTTGCGTTACGCACATGTAATATAGAGAATTCTAAAGTAGATCGTATTATAATCTCGCTGAATAACAAAGTATGTCAATAGTTACTTTTATTAAAGCTTGGAGACCAGTACAATGTGATATACAATATATATATAATTATAATATATAATATTATAATATATATAATTATAATATGACATAATTAATATTAAATGACAATACATGACAATATTATATTATATATATAGTATTTAAAATATAACTAATAATTTAATGTTATTGAATATAATAATAAATATATAGTTTATATATATATATGTAAAGTGTCGGTATTAATCTAATACAATCTAGTATTATATTATACCTAAGATATACAGGGTGTCAATGAATGTTTGGGACTTTTTTTGTGTAGATAGAGCGGACTAAACTGAGTCGAAAAGTCTTCTACCATTTTGCAATTGTCGCGATAGCGAATTATTAATTATAAAAAAAAATCACCGTCTTAGCCTGGACTATCGTCCAGTGTAAGCGTGTCATCTCGCCGCGCGCTTGCATTGGGGAGGCTGGGCTAAGATGGCGATTTTTTATAATTAATAACTCGTTAACTATTGCGGAAATTGCAAAATGGTAGGGGACTTTTCGACTCAGTTTGGTCCGCTCTATCTACACAAAAAATAAGTCCCAAACATTCACTG